CTATCTATCTATCTATCTATCTATCTATCTGTCTATCTATCTATCTATCTATCTAATTTTCTATCCATCCATCTATCCATCTATCTATCCATCTATCCATCCATCTATCTATCCATCTATCCATCCATCTATCTATCCATCTATCCATATATCTATCTATATCCACCCCTTCTCCCTACCCTCTGTCTCCCACAGACCTATAATCACAGTAGGTATTTATATTATGTCACACTCAAACACTATGGCGGGACATCGCCCTCAATATCGGATCTTGCCACATCCAAAATGTCTTCCGGGTTGCTATTCTGAAGAATGTGTAAGATCTGTGACGTGATTCGTGTCAGAGAACTGTGCCACTGATGAGTTTCTATTCTTAGACAGGCTCTTAAGCATGCAGATTGTAGAGAAAGAGTTATGCTGAGAAAGGTAGGACAGACAGACTGACAGAAAGACAGACAGACAGACAGACAGACAGACAGACAGACAGACAGACAGACAGACAGACAGAAAAACAGAGAGATAGGCAGGCAGGCAGTTACTCAGACAGACAGACAAACAGACACAGCTAAAGAACAAAGATGAGACCAACCACTTGCACCCTCCAACCATCCGCCCAACAGGAGCCAACGACACACAAAGGGAAATCTTATTACTATCACTTGCTTGCTAGTACAAGCGATTTATAACACGATACATTCTCTGTGTTTTCGTCCTCAGACACCTTGCGAGCACACTAGGTAAATCTAAACTTGTGGCACAGATGCAAATAATAATAATATGCAGATGAGACAATTTTCACCCGTTTGTTTATCTACACCTTTGTTTGTTTTAATTTGTTTTAGTTTGTTTTAGAAGAGGTTTTACGGCGCTCGCAACTGCATAAGGTCATATTAGCGTCAAGGGGTGGATGTCAACAGAGAAGTCCTTACAGGGAATCAGACTTACTCTGCTCACCTCTCTAGCTTCAGCAGCACAATTATTATTATCTTCACCGACAATTTTGACGTCATAATTCGCAGCCGAGCGACCAGTGTAAATTTGTATTGCGTTCTGTGACTACCGTTAGCTCTGCTGGACATCGGAGCTGATTGCCCTTGTTCGAATCTTCAATAGACAATTCTGAATATATTTGGGGTTGGGGGGTAGTTTTAGGTCCCAACTGCATAGGTCATATGAGCGCCAGAACATTAGAGTAGTTTCAAGAGAGTAACAAACATAAAAAAGAAGAAGAGGAGATAAGGACGATAGATGTTTGATAGGAAAGAAAAAGCAAATCACACCAGAGCACCCGACAACCACCCACGAAAGTATGTATGTGTTGCTTTGAGGAATGTTAAGGCTCTCCAACGTTTGGGATTATTTCTATCGGAAAAGGACGTTACATTTAGAGATCCCGCCTTTTATTTAACACTTTGCAGTCACACAGCCAGCAGTACACAATACCCTCCATCTGGTCACCCAGCCAGGAGAACGACTGCAACAGACTTCTCAGGCCTGGTGTAGAAGTGCGACAGTTGACCGGAACGGACAATTTACACCGGCGTATTATTGCACCAAGTGACTGCAAAGTGTTAATAAATGTAAAACTAACGAAGTGCAGTGTTGAAAGAAACGTTCAATCTATATAAAGGACGACAGAGAAATCTCTCACCGACAGAAGCATCAAGATCCCAGCCGATGTTTTGGGTTATCCCTCTGTCTATCAAACCGGAGAAAGCCGGCAGATACACGTTGATATTCGTCGTCCTTTTCTCGTGCTCGGAGGAGAAATCGGCAGACGATGACGTCGACGAAACGGGGCACGATGATGATGACGATAAGGCAATGTTGGTGAGGGAAGCACAAAGGACCAGCTCGTCAGAAACTTTCGCCAGAATCTCCACCAGCAGAATGTAAGCGGCGCCCACCCCCCACCACATATAGGTTGCACGGTCGTAGCAGTCGCTCACCAGAAGAATCAGCGAGCGAAAATCCGTCTCGAAAGCGTTCACTTCGGGCGTGCCAACCTGCGATACTGACGTGAAGGTGGACGTGATGTTGGCTACCATTCGTAGGCACGTGGTGTAGTAGACGCTGCGGGCGAAGTAGGCGTCACACGTGGCGTCCACGCTGTAGTTGGTGACCTGCGTGCTGAGGTAGGCGTAGTCTGAGGCCAACGTGGCGCTGCATGACGTGAGGGCCAGCATGTAGTTGAGGTTACGCTGGTAGATGAGCTGCTGTACGGCGTCCATCAGAATTCGGCGACCTGGGGAGGGATTGGGGGAGGGGGGGGGTGAGAGAATTG